CATTGATAATATCTTTTACAGGTTACATTTTTAGCCTTTTTGTTTATATTTTTTTTATGCTGCTAAAGATTAATCTGAAGACCTTGTACATATGGGTAAAGTGCTCTGCCATCAAGCTATATCCTCAACTCTGAGAACATACATTTGTTTGTAACTTCCCAGGTCTCTGACATGTGTCATGTCTTTGGTGTCATGTCTAAAAGTCAAGCCCAAGGGCCTATTGATTTTTCTCCTATGTTATCTTTTTGATATTTATAATGTTTCACTTTACATTTAGGTTTGTGATTTATTTTGAGTTAAATTTTGTAAAGGATGTAAGGCTTGCTTCAATTTATACTTTTTAATGTGTTGCAATGTCTAGTTGTTCTAATACTATCTGTTGAAAATACCTCCATTACTCCATTTGAATGTCTTTGGTTCTTTGTCAAAGATTAGTTGACTTTATCTCATGGGTCTGTTTCTTGAACATTTCTTCTGTTCTGTAAATGTGTCTGTGCTTTCACTAGTGTTAACATGTCTTCATTACTGTAGCTTTACACCCACATTAGGAAACCAAATAGTGTCCGTCCTCCAACTTCATTTTTCTCTTTCAAGAATGTGCTTGCTATTCTTGATTTTGCTATTTCATGTAGGTGTTAGTCAGCTTATTAATACACAGGAAACAATGTTCTGGGATTTTGATTGCATTGACTCTGTAGATAAATTTTGGAAGAGCTCATATTTTGAAAATACTGTCTTCTATTCATAAGCATGTGCTAACGCTGTGGTTTATTTAGTTATTGGCTTGCTTTCATAATTGACTTGCAGTTTTCCTTCTGTAGATCTTTTGCATACTTTGTAGGTTTATGCCTAAGTATTTAATAAATGTTTTATGGTCCTATAATGGTAGGTATGAGTCATTGGAAACTTGTCCATATCCACACAGGGTAGAGCATCAGGAGGTGGCTAGCATAAACACTGTCTTCATGTAGGCTCCCTGAACTGGCACTATTCTACTAGCATTCCCTTATACTCACCACTTGATTCCAATATTAAAGACGTCACTGTGGGATTAAAGAAACTACTGGCTAGTAGAACAGCAGTGTGGAATCATAACCCTGTCACGAGCCAGGCAGATAATCGTGGGTAATAGTAATTTACAGAAAGACCATTGAGATGTGTTTTTCATTAAACTTAGAGATTTATTAATCATAAAGTACTAAGGTGATTCTTCTTACTTGTCTTGTTAAAGTGATCTCATTTCATACTTCAAACAAATGTCCTGGAATATTTATACTTTTTCCTCTTCATTTGCTTAATTCACACAATGTTTCTGCTAGATAAGTTGTTGTGACATTTAGCACTCTTTTCTTGTCTCATTTTTAACATTTTTGGTACTGTATTTATTTGATTCCCACTCTTCTTAATGTTGTGGAAAGACCTCATATAGACTGAAAGGTAGTGTCTTGGCTGTACCTTCCGCCGATCCCACTTCCTGCCTGCTCTTGTCTCATTTCCTGCTGTCTTTACCTGTTCGGTCTAATCTGAACAGCCCTTGCTCTGTGGGGAGACTATGTGCGTTTCCATGGCAAGGTTTTTGACTACTGTGGCTCATTTGCCAAGAATGTTCTCCCCAGTTCCGCAGTACTCTGTTCTCTTACTTCATTTGGATCTAGTTCAATCACATCAGAGTTCTCCTACAATCCTTTGTCTAAAAAAAGCCTCCGTTATTCTGCGCTTACTCTGCTGTAGATTTCTTCATAGCATTTCTAACTGACACGTGATGATCTTTGTCTGAAATACCTGGGACCAGAAGTGTTTTGGATGATTTTGATCTTGAAATATTTGCAGATACATTGTGAAATATTTTCATTATGAGATCTGAATCCAAACAGAATTCATTCATTTCATATGTTCTTGGGCATGTAGCCTGAAGGTAGTTTTAAAGAGTATTTTTAGTGCACATGCATTTTGACTGGAACCTGCTTTGTGAGGTTCAATGTGAAGTTTTCCACTTAGTGTCATGTTGGTATTTAAAAAAATAAAAGAGTTTGGAAGGCTTTGAGGTTTGGATATTTTAGAAAAGGATGCCCAACTCACAAGGTATGATATCCTTATTGTTAGCTTTTCCCAAGATATGTAAGTTTCATGAGGACAGGATGTCTGTGTGTTCAGTATTGTGTCCTTGTTGTCTGGTGGGACATGGGATAGCATGAAAGAGGTACTAATTTTTTTGTTGTTGATGTAAGCAAATGTTGTGATTTTTCTGATTTCACAGTTGCTAATAGGCTTTAAGACATTTAGACCTAATCTTTGGGTATCTTTTGTTGGTAGACTATATAGACTATGAACTATTTGGTTTGGATAAAAGTCTTTTACTAAGAATATGAAATACAAATGTCATCTAGGAATAAAGGATGTTTGACTTGTACAGACAGTGCATATACATGCTCTACTGTAAACTTTCTTACGTTAAAGATCAGGAACCTGAGACCAGGCCATGCAGCTTGTAAGTCTCAGAGCTCTGACTGTGACTGGTAAACCGGTGTTAGATTTCATACAACCTGCGTGTGTGTGTTTAGTTTCTTAGTTACAGTTATTTGTTAATAATTGATTTTCTTTACTTGTAACTTTGCTGTCTTCTCTTCACCTTCATGCTATAATAATTGCTTGGTCTTGTAAATTTCATTGCTTCTGGGTACTGTTGGGTGAATAGTGAATATTGGATCTTATTTAGTTTTCTTTCTTCATAAATATAAGATCAATTTCCAATCAAAATTGTGATCATTAGGAAAGTCTAATTCCTTAGAGACCCACCTAAGTCTGAACTTGATGTATAATGAATGAGTAAACCCCACAGTAGCTCTATATTCATTCAAGTGATACTATGTGGTTTCTTAAGGCAGGCAAAAATAGTTAAAAAGAGTTTGTCCTATATTGTTTCCTTTTCCTTTTTCCTATCCGATTATCTGGAAAGTTTCCAAGGGTTATATGACTTAATTTTCCTCTGGTAGGCTTGATTAGCAAGGGTATCACTTGCCAAATACTGGACAGTGCAGGGATTTGTGACTCATCTTCTTAGAAGCCAGTCCATCTCCTGCTGCAGAATGCAGTTGCTTGTTGGTGAACGTTGAATAACGTGTTTAGGGATGACCAGCTTGTGAGTAGGGGTAGCTATAGGGCATCTGGGGGCTGCTTTGCCCTGCATGAACTCGGTGAAATCTTGCCCTTCTGGCAGCTGCTCATTTTGAGAGGAACTTTTCCTTTTGCTTTGCATTTCTTTTCTCAATACAAAAGGAATGCTTCCCTTTCTAAAGTTTTAAATGAGATGTTAAAAAAGTCACATGTTCCCACATGGAGAAAGTGCATAACTATGCCTTTCAGAGGGACATAAATTTTTTTAGCCTAGAAACCCTTGACATGCATAATTCCCAACAATGTCTGAAAGCCCTTGGAGAGCTGGACGGAGTGTGTGGCTCAGCGTCATCTTCAGGCTCTGCAGCCCGCTTTGTGACCCCCTCTGATCCGTGGTCTGTACTTGTTAAATGCACAGATTTTAAGCCTCCTAGCGCCATGATGTTTTCTGTAATTAAGGAATTAAAAATATCATTTATTGAAAGAATGCCATGATAAACTAACAAAGCTTGTATGCAAGGCACTGGACTGCTCCAGTGTCCGTATCAGATAGTCACTTTGAGTCAGACTGCATTGTCTGTCACCTAACCTTGATAAAAATCTGATTGGAAAATACATAAAATGCATGAAAAAGGTGATTGAAAATTTTAGTGTTTTTATTTTAGATCATATTATCTTAACTCTTAACTGATTTTTTTAATTGAATGCAGCTATTATACAGTGCAGGAAGAACAATGGTGCTCTTAAAGAGACTGATTACTTTGTGTACATGTATTGTTTTAGATGTAGTTATTGTGTTTATATTTTAACTTCTTTTTTAAAAGATGGAGCTATTTCCCTATGGAAAGTCTGTAATTCATTTTCATACAGTTTTTAAAAAATTCTTTCAAGTTAAGTAAAATGACTTAGTTGAGAACCTTGAAATGGAGACTACAGTAAAACTTTAAAATAGTGAAAAAGAACACTGGTTTAATTACTACTTTAATCAGTAAAAATAACCTTTATAACTGTAGGAATTTTTAAAATAGAAGTCACACAGAAAGAAATATGAATGAGGATTAGTTAGGAGGGAGAAAAAAGTGGTATCCCTTTGTTAAGCATTAAAAATTTTTAATTAACTGCTTGCCCAAACACAACAATGAAAATGGCAATTACCTCTACAGTAACAACGGTATAATTGCAGCCGCTGTGATCTAAAGCTAGGAAACAAAATGTTAATCTGGAATGAGCAGTTTCAATATGAAATTATGATATACTTGGCTTCCTGTAGTACAGCTGTCAAGCTTGGGCAGCTCGCTGGTCAATAGTGACATTCTATGTGTCAGTGAACAGAGTCTCTTGATACCATAGCCCACAGTTCACACATTACTGAAGCTCCAACTGTCGAACATTCAAGTCCCTTGGTATTATTGCAGCTTCCAGACTCTCCTGACTGGCTCATGTTTCATTCTTTGGCAATTTGCCCTAATGATATCCCTCAGGAGCTTTCAGCCTCTCTTCTTTCCATATTTAATCGTGCTGTATTAATCTGAGTGATGCGCAAACTGTGTTGTGCATATTGTCATTTCCTACAGTATTTTCTAAAAGACTCACTAATTTTTTTCAGTTCAACTTTTATTTATGGTCCAAATTTAACCTTAGCTACATTTTCAAGTTGAATGTAAAAATCTGCGTATGATTCCCAAGAAACTCCTTTTGCTGTTTGTGTGTTTTTCAGAGGGACCTCTGAGACACAGGGCTTTACATGTAGAATTGGTAAGAACAGTGTGAGCTGTGTCACTGTGTAAATTGTTCTTGATGATCACTCATCTCTGATACCTTGAACATGCCTTTTTCTTTAGAGGGTCAGCAGCTCCTCATTATTGTTACCCTTCTGTGCATTTTAGTTAACTGCCTGTCTCCATGGATCCGCTGCTCTGCTCTACCCGATGTACTGGCAACACATATACATCCCTGTGCTTCCTCCACACCTACTGGACTACTGCTGGTAAGCTGGCCTTTGCCAGAGTCCCTTCCACCTAGATTTCACCATTAGAAACAGATCTTTATATTATAGTCGTGTATAGATTAAAGAAACCACAGAAACTTGACTTTCAGATGATTTGTAAGTATAAACGTATTTTTATATGTATCAGAACAGTTCGTTCCAAAGATAACAAAAATTTAGATTTGGCAAAATGTAGTTCTTTAAATTATGCAAATTTCTTCTGTGGTCATTTAGAAAAAAGACGTGTAAGTAAGAAATATAATTTCATTTATGGCTTATAGGTTACACAAGGGTTCTGGTATCAGAGAACAGTACCCCAGGTATCAGAATTCATCTGTCAAATCTACCCATAGTCCCATTGGCTTTATTGAGGACACCGCTTTCCTTCACCTCCTCCTCAATAGCACCCTGAAAACATAATTGTCAAAGCCATTGCTTCTAGTACAAGAAATTTTGAGAGTCTGGTATGAGACAAAGTGTCAGCCTAAAGCAACCAAGAAAAACAGTGGAAAGTGTGAGAGCAATTGTGAGAACTGGCTGGCTTTAGCAACAGCTCCCAGTGAGCTCAGTAATCTGAGTTCAATCAGGCCACTAGAAACTAGAACAATGGCCAATGGCCTCCTTGTTCTCTCTGACTGGAATATAGCAAGGCTTGTATATAGGAAGGCTAGACCAGGGGGAGACTTCAGGGTAGAGGCTTTGATTGTGTATAGGGAAGGCACTCATGAACTAGATTCCGATACAGGAGTTTTGGTACTCAGGGTAAAGAATTTTTCTCACTGTATAATCACCTGCAGGCATAGTTAATTTTTAAAAAATTTGTTGAGATTTCTTTCTCCGAATCATGCCTATGTATACGTGTATGATTCACACACACACACACACACACAGACAGACAGAGAGAGAGAGAGAGAGAGAGAGAGAGAGAGAGAGAGAGGGAGGGAGGGAGGGAGGGAGGGAGGGGGAGAAGGAGAGGGAGAGAAACACACAAATCATTTGGTATTGATAATTTTCTTATATCAAAGCTAGTATTAGTAAAAATCAAAGTCCTTTGGAATTAATATATTTACTTGAAATTTTCATGAAAGACGTTAAAGTTTTTTAAGGATTGTGATTATTTAAATGCATGATGTTTCTTCAGAAGGGTGGTAGGTGGCTAGCCTTCTTCAGAACAGTATCCAGACTGATTACATGGCTGTACTGTGCACTTCCATAGTGGAGTAACAGTATTGTTCATCTGTGAAGTAGGTAGTCAGGGACTCACCACTGCTGTTCTGTCCTTGGAGAACTTGAAAGGAAAAACAGTTTTGTAGACTACAGGATGTAATTTAATTCTGTTGTGAAGTGTAACATGCACAAATCTAAGTATAAAGCCAGATCAGTAAGTGAGGTGGTTTTTTTTTTTGTTATTCATCTTAGAGTTTTCCTTTTGACCAACAAAATTAAAATAGTTTTCCTCCTTAAAGGCAGAGAATGCAGTTTGTTTATGTTGGCTCAGGCAGTAGATTTTTGTATACATCGTCTGTAACTAGACATTTATTTTAAAGTTCTCTTTTCTAAAAGTCTTATACTGTTATAGTCATTTTGAAAACTAATTATAGGATTAGCACTAAGTTTTTGCAATACTCCTTGCATCACAACTTTTCTGCTAAAGTGTTCTGACCTCTTGTGATAACATACCTTTAAGCTCAAGTCTATGTAGTATTATATATGTAAAATTTTCTGAACACTATTTTAAAGTATCAATGATACACAAATTCTTTCCAGAACTATTTTCTTGATTCTGTCCCTGTTATCAAGTCTTTACTGCTGCCTCCACTCTAAGTAAAGAAGCTTCCCCCTCCTCCCCCTTTTCTTTCTTATTGCTTGCTTGCTTCTAATGCTGGAAATAGTCCTCAGGACAAGTTCCAACAGCCTCCATGCAGGTATTCCCTGGTTCAGAGAGAACAGTAGTGTCCAAACAAGGAGTTACTTGAAAACTTTCTGAGCCTTAAAGTCATATGATAGGCTCAGCTTTTGTTAAAGGATCTGTCTATCTGTCTATGTTTCCTTCTATTGTCAGAAAATGTGATAGATTAAGGAGTTTCCTAGGGAAAATGATTCTCTTCCATTTATATCCTTAATATTAGGACCATACTGATAGGAAGAAAAATGTAAATTATCCCCTCAGACTCATCACTGAAAAGAAATTACATCAAGTTCCAAATGGGGCCACATTTTTTGAGGATTACATGTATGTTGGTTTACTTTTCAGAATGATTGGGATGTTGCAAATCCTGAAATAGTCATGAATCTACAAAACATTTCTGTGTTTGTACCTGGTGTTGGTGATGTGCCATAGACTTTGGAGAACCATAATGCCCTCTTGTGACCATAGATGAATATCACATCTTGGTCCTTTGACACTCTTACTACATTGTTGGTTGGTCCATCCACCCACCCATACATACATAAACCCACCCGCTCAGCCCTCCATCATTTAGTGACTGCCTGTTTGGTAAGCTGTGAACATGTAATGCAGTAAATAAGCTTTTTTACTTGTTTATTTACTGAAAGAAATAAACACATATACGTAGCTCTCTGCATACCTCCATTCACACATACAACAACCCTGTAACACTGTAATTGCTATAGCAAAGTCACTCAAGGACACATGGGTGGCAACTTAAGCAATATGTCGATAGCACATTCTTGCTAAGTTCAGAAAAGCTACTAGGAGGAAGTGATGTCATCTGTATTTTCCTCTTAATCAAGCAAAGTAACAGTACTCCAATATGGCATATCTATTGTGAGACACTTCAAAACTGTTTGAATTCTTAAGTATATTTAAGGAAGTATGGCTATAAGACCACCAAGACTATCATAGATTATTATCTGCTCAAGCAGTGCTTAAGTAAGTCATATAGTTGGATTCTCTAGATTATTTCTTTGAAACTATACAATTTAGATTCCAAGAAAAAAAATGAAGTAAAAAATTACATTCTTTCAGACTACCCTGACGGTTGCAATAGTATGTGGCGGGGAAGCTTCTTTTTAAGTAGCTTTAGAAGGAGAAAAAAAGTGATTCTGCATAAAGATGCTACCACAAAGAAGAAATAGTTTAGAGCCGTCTGTACTGTCTTTTCTAAATAATATCACAGACAGTAGAGCTTAAAGACAGCCTTGTGTGTGGATAATGGAGCATCTGCATCACCATTGATTTCTTCCTGATGTACCAACACCCTCATCAAAGTAGGATGGACGGTCTAGCTGGGATTCAAAGTGACTTTCCAGGAGAGTTGGCTGTTGTCACAATAGTATATGACAGTCCAGTGGGAAAGAAACAGCTACTCTTTTGACTCTATAAACACTGCGTTCTGTCAACTATCATAATGGTTTTAGAAAATTATACTCTAGTGTTTTTAATTCAAACATCTGTAAGTTTAGGAATTTGCTACAAATTAGTGAGAAAAAAATTAACTATACAGCAATGCTCAGTGATCACATGAAAGAGTTTTGAGTTGGTAATTGTTAAATTTGTCATAGAAGCCTGCTACTATATAATTTTAATTCTAGCTTAATTTATATGAGCATATTATTTGTATCTCAGAAAGCAAGTAGCTTTCAGAAACATTTCAAAGGATTTTTCTAGATGTATTTCCTAGGATTATTGGTTAGCTTAGACTTTTGCTTTATGAAATGCTAGCCTACTCAGTGTTTGTTTAGAAGATGGATATATTTCTTAGTTTTACAAGGCTTGAGTATTTTGATTAGCACTCTTACTAAAATATTCTTTGGAATTTAAGATACTATGAACTTTTTGTATTATAAACCTCGTTGGTAAAACATTCTAAACCTCAGGGGATCTAGATGTTCCCATAGTGATTTTAAGATTGCTGTGCTACCTTTCCTGTTTGGTGGGTGTGGCATATTTAAGGTACTGGGAGTTGCCAGCTTGTTTTGTGACAGTTGCCCAAAGCTGCACCTGGAGCCCTGCATAGTGATCTGCATTTCCTGTCTTCTGTGGAGCTGTAGAGGGAACCCAGGCACAAGAGCTTGAACTAGGGCAACAACTTTGCCTTCTGCCAGCAAAAGGGCGGCAGTCCACATTTGTTTGTGTTCCTTTAAAGGTAGAGAGTCTGTTAGTCCCTAAGGAGATCGAGGCATGGAATAGTCAAGTGAAGTTTACAGAGTACCACACCAACTCCATCCAGATGGTCAGTTGTGTAGACTTTTTAAAAGATTGTGAAGGAACAAGGCTACAATAAGCTAAGACAACTGTGAAGGACAATTAATACAGTCCTAATAAAATACTGCATGTACTGCGTGTACATAGTAATGAGAAAGAACCTAATTTATGGTTTCTGGGATTCTGGATATAGAAGTTATTTTTAGTCAGCCTTCACTAACTAAACTTGGGCCTTTCTAAGATGATCTGAGACATCTGGACCAGTTAGGGTATCTGTTAGAGTCAGCTATCACTGCTACCCTGCAGTGGAGTGCACATCAAGGAGCCTGAGCAGTTCTGTGTAATGACAGTGCTGTTCAGAACATTATATAAGCCTGTGAGCAGCAAGATTTGCATTACCAGGAATGGTTGGTGTTAAAGGTCAGAGATGTCTATAGAAGGATTCCCCAAAATGTGTATTTTAAAAAATAGCTATGTGTTCTCATTTATTTATCATTTTCATAGATGTCTGTCTGTCCTTATTTTTTTTGTTGATAATGTAGTTTCAAATTTTCAAGATGACTACTTTTCTTCTTGTATTTCCTAACAATCATTTCTAACATTTTCCTGATTCATACGTCATATACTAAAATGATTTAGTATCTTTATATTCTGCTGGAGTCTAAGATCCAGGAGGAAATGTATCCTATCTACATTGTTTATCACCTTGTTTAAGTTTCTATCCAAGGGCCTGGATCTGGTACGCTCCCAAAATCATAGCCTGAAATAATTAATTCAAAACCATTCTTAGACATGAAAATTTTTTATTAAGATTCTCATATTAATAGCTAGACAGTGGCCATGCACACCTTTAACCCCAGTACTCAGGAGGCAGAAGCAGGCAGATCTCTGTGAGTTTGAGAACAGCCAATTCTACATAGAGAGACCCTGTCTCGAAAAAGATATTATTATACTGTTAAGAATGAAAGTAAAATGAATCTGAAAGTGTAGGAGTATTGGAACACAGAGGGGACTTACTATGTCGATGTCACTGGTTCTAGAATAATGAAAACAGGATGAGATAAATATGTGGTGCCTTAGTGGTAGACTGACACAGTAGATACTGAGTGACATATTAGGTATGAAACAATGACGATCCATTACAATAACAGAAATAATCAAATTGAACAAGAATATGTATAAAAGAAATGTAAATACATTTGAAGATTATTTAGAATATATTTGCTATCAAGTATAATAGAAAGATCCAATATGACCTACATCTTGATAGTCTTTATAAGAAAAACATGTTATTTAGGCATAGAGCTTTTGATTTAATAATAAATGACTTAGAGATTTTTATATAAACAAACTTTAAATAGTAATGGCCTATAAGATGAAATTTTCGTAATTTTCAGTATCTGTAACATGGGTGGAACTGAACGCTTGAAGTTAGTTTTTAAGCATTTGAATTGCTTTTATGTTGTTTTAGTTTTAATGAACAATATGAATCTATACATACATATATATTTTTAATTTAGTGCCCCAATGCCATACCTGATTGGAATACACTCCAGTCTCATAGAGGTGAGTATCTTTCTCAGTAAGATAGTTATGAAACTAATTAATTAGAAATAATAGATAAAAGTTTTATTTGAAGCTTATTTGACTAATACTAAGATGTACTAGATTGACATTATGGATATACTTAAGGGTCGTTTTAAGATAGTGTCACTGAAATCACTTCAGTTTATTCAGTATGCTGGTTTGCCCAGCAATGGCATGAAACCTATGGAAATGGTTGTGTTTGAAGTCACGTGGTCAGTTTTAAATACTAAAATCGTTGTTCCTTGATGAACCACTGATTTCTTGCAACTCAAGATTTTCTGTATCTCATATTTAGTACAATATTTTGAAATTAAATTTTATGTTCTTATGATTCACCAAGTCAAAGTTTTCCTTTACACAACTTCATTATTTCCAGTTTATCAGTTGATTATCAAAGTGTGAGTTTAACATACTAATGATAAACTTATTAACCAGTATGTGCTGGCTCATTCCTGTGGTGCTAGTCCTTAAGGAGCTGAGAAAGGATTCCCACAGTGCAAGTCAGCCTGTTGTGCACAGGGGCTTCTGTGCCAGGCAGAACTAAAGAGAAGAGCAGGCATATACTTTTCTAAGTTCAGAGTTTCCGTCCCACTGTCAGAGATGAATTTAGCATATTTTTTTCTCTTTCTATTGTTATCTCATTTCAAAATGATTTTTGTTGCTTACTTTATCCCTATCCTGAAACTCATTAAACTTTAAATACTTGGGTTTACAGTCAGTGAAATTTCCAGAAAGCCCTTCTTGTAAGATTGGCATGTGTGTGTGGTGGCACACATCTTTAATCCCAACATTCAGAAGGCAGAGGCAGGTCAATCGTAGTGAGTTGGAGGCCAGCCTGATCTACAAAGCAAGTTCCAGAAGAGCCATGGTTACACAGAGAAACCCTGTCTCAAAAAACTAAAACCAAAACCAAAACCAAAAAGAAAAAGAAAAAGAAAGAAAGAAAAAAAATGGCATATAAATTACCAAAAGGCTAAAACACAAGATTTGAGTCATCTGAGTGGCATCATGCTTGCTGTTGTCAGTTTCAGTCAAACACATTGTCTTTGCTGATTGCACAGAGTAACATTAATAATGAAACACAGTTGCTAATGGACACACTGATGTACTAGGTGTGGTTTTCCTGCCAGTTGCCAACGCTTGTCTTTTCTTTGGTCAGAGAAGATTCTTACTAAGATAGAGCCCTGTCTCCGAGAAAGCTTTGATTAGAGAATTGTACCTAGTCTCAAGTTAGGGGCTTTTTTTATTTTTTCTTTTTGGAAAATGCTAGGGCAATAATTCTTTTGTTCCATTATTACTGAAGTATAGATTTTAATGCATTTTAGTAGGTTTAACACATTTTTAATATTGAAGTCTGAGTGGGATAAATTTGTGACTCCTTATATTTTATTAATTTTAAGGAACTATTATAAGCCAAGAATGCAGTGTATGAAATGAGGCATGAGCAGATAGATATGTACTCTGTCATTAGATCAGGTAGGATATAACCTGAATTTCACTAGTTTGACTTTCATGAAATTAGTTGCTTGGATTTTTTGTCTTAAAAGTAACAAAGTTTGATTTTCATAATTTCCACAATAAATCTATACTAAAAGTAGCACCCAGAATTTTATAATGTGTTTACTTATATAGATGAAAATAATTTAAAATTGGAGAGAGTGCCTTGTGGTCTTCTGTTAATTTTGGGTGTATGGAATGGCTCTACAGCAGTCTTTAAGACAAATAAATTAGGCTTTTCCAAATTAGGACGGATGAGGAAGCACACTAGCTATTTCATTTAATTTATCACATCCTTATTGGCTGCTTACAAAGCAAGTTTAAATGAAAAAAATTCTTTGAAAATTTATAATTAAATTATTTTTTTCCCCTCTGTCTTTTGCTGAAATGGATTTTTTTCCTTTTTGGAAAATAGTATTTTGAAGAAAAAGACCATTTTAACTTTGAGTTGGTTCCTTTTATGAAGTGGGACATTTGGAGTGGTAATTGGATTGTGGGAAGTTTCCACGCCTTCAGTGCTGTGCTTATCTTGTTTATTAGCCTGCCCTCAGCTTGTTGACAGGGAGGGAGAGGTGCATTTGATGGTCCTTTAAATAATGAGCATATCACTTGGCAATTTCCTTAAACTATAGTAAGATGATAGTTCATTCTTCAATATGTCACTATCAAGCAGTTTTCAATTAAATTTTTATCTGTTTGCTTTTATTTTATAATACGTATGTTTTAAATGGAATTTAGGTATTCATGCAGTTAGTATGAGAGACAGCACTGTAACTTTTAGCAATTGCAGCTAATTTTGGAGGAAAACAAAAAATTACTGTCGTCTTTTTGGTCATAACGGTCTCAGCTAATATTATTAATTGTGTAAAAACCTCCAAGTTCTAAAGCATGAAATTAATGTTCTTTGAAACCTTTCCACGTGGTTTTACATAATTGTGACTAATGAATGGTGAAAACGTATCTTTTCAAAGTCGAAGTTTATTTCTGAAATAAGGGAAACAGATTTTATTTTCCCTGGAAAGCAGACTTCTGGGTGAAGTTAAGTGCTGACTAAGTCCGTAGTTGAGTAACTTGGAAGCCGCAGACCTGAGGGGGACTTGTTTGTTTTCATCTGTACAGGACTGTGCACTGCAGAATGTTGGTCCCCTTTCCTAAGGTCCTGTGCTGCTGCCCTGTGCCATTCCGGTACATTAGCGTGCATAATGCATATAGCCACAGTGTGCACAAGGGTTAATTCCACAGGGCCTGAGAGAGACTTACACACTCAGTATCACGTGTCCAGCATAATCTTCTTACTTTTCTGGAAAAACATTTTCATTTTCATGTTTTCTTTTAAATTGCACCCCATAAACATATGAGATATAACAATATGAGACAAAGGAAGAGGTCCCATTGCTGCCTTGCAGGCCTAGGTAGAGAAGACAAAGCTAACACTTGATTTGGAGAGAAAAAAATAGACTAGTTTCAGTATTTTCCTATAGTTAAATTGTAACCTACTCCCCCATTTTTGGTTACATATATTTATTCTAACATTAGGGTTTCAGTTTATTTATTAGTAATGAACACATTTTTATTTTTTTACTTTTAGTGAGTGGGCCATTGAACAAAATTTAATATTCAGTTATTATCTGCCTTAAAACAAAAAGCAATTGAAAAAGTCTACAAATCACATTACTATCATTAATCAGACCGTACTAATGTTATCATAAACATCTTGGTAGCACATAGTCCTTATCTTTAAATGTTTGAACAAACTCATTTCCCATTGGAAAAAAATAGATTTAGTCTTCTGGATTATAACAGTTTTTCTAGTATGAGAACACCACAGAAAGTGAAATGGTCATCATATTATGACATTCTTTTCCTGAACAAATGGCATTATATATTTCACTCATAAATTGTTATTAAAATTATAGTTAATATACATACTGATATAGTTATGCATTTAAACCTTTTAAACATGTGTACACATGAAAAGGAAAGGAAATCAGTGTGTTTCAGACATTTCTATAGAATATCAGTTATATCACCAGAAATGATTTCTTGATAATAATTTAGAGGTAGCCATCTTTTAATTCTGAGTTTTTAGTTTTTAGTAATTGTAATGTCTTTTACAAGACAGATTTTAGAACCAGTGTCCCCTGAGAATATATAGCCTAGATTGTGGATTTCTAAACACTTATCATTTCTGTAGGAAATTTAACATTTAACTAAATACTCAAAAGTTGAAATCCAAAATGGATCAGAGTCACTTTAATCAGAATCAACTTGTAACAAAATAATTGGTTAAACTAATTTAAAATTCAAGTATTTAGCCAGTGGAGCTTGCTTTTAATTACAGCATTTGGGAGGAAGAGGCAGGAGGATCTCTGTGAGTTCAAGATTGGTTTGGCTTACATACCGTTCCAGGACAGCCAGGGCAACATAGAGAAACCTCCCCTGGCTGAGAAAAAAGAATTATAATGTTTCCCTTAACTAAAAGTGCTGCACTGAAATTATTATCTTTCGCCAGTTGGCCTATATGAATGTGGAAGTCTGGATTTTGTGGCTGCATTTCATTACTGGAGTACATCACTTACACCTGAGGTGTGTTTCCACATAGAATTCAGTAATTTAAGTAGATGTGTGAAACAGAAAATAAACTATACCCTTTTAGACATAACTTTGATAAGGTTTTTATAGCTTACTATTATTTGTAAACCTATTGAGATACCCTTTTACTAAATTTTCAAACAACATGGAAAGATAAGTCGTTCTGATGAACTGTTAAATTTTATTCTTCTTCTTTTTTTTTTTTTCATGACAGGTTTTCTCTGTGTATCCCTGCCTGTCTTGGAACTCACTATCTAGACCAGGCTGGCCTTGAACCCTGAGATCTGCCTGCCTCTGCCTCCCAAGTGCTGAGGTTATAAGTTTTACTCTTTACATAAAAATCCATGTGAGGACATAATTGGCGAATTACACGTTAGTAGTCTCTCCATTGTCTCCTCCTTTCCCTCTCAGTCCTACTCAAGGCCGCACGTTGGTATGGCCACATAGGAACGTGTTTGTTCACTGAAATGTAGTTTAGTTCTGCAGTCATTGTTAGGAGTTTCTACACTCTCTCCAGTGTATGTATGCTAAAGTGGATTTGAAACGGGGAACAAATTCCCATATCGTAAGATTGACATTCAAATGATAAAGGCTACAGTTTTTATATTTTGATATACCTCTGCCTAGTATTGTGCTAAATTGTTGGCAGTTATTTTAATTTGACATTAGATGAGGACATTTTCTGTTTTAAGTATTTTAATCAAATCTTTTTAAATCAATTATAGTCACATTCCTTTTTCAGAAAGTAAAGTTGTTTATATTGTTTAATAACATTGAATTTCCCTCTTTAATTTTCCCAAGCTTAATGCACTAAGATAGTTTTTTGTTTCCAAACTCATCATAAACTTGTAAGAAAAATATAATAAGATTTTTTTCATAATTGTGTTTTTTAAACAGAGAGTGAAAAATAAATCTTTGGAAGATGTGGTTGTGTTAAATGTTGACACAAACACTTTAGAATCACCATTTAATGACTTGAGCAACCTGCCCAGTGATGTGGTAAGTCCAAAGGATATCTGTGGTGAACAAGAGTGTTTGTTGCTGGACTCTCAAGTTCCTGTTTTCCACTTTGTATCTGAACCTTTAAAGTCAGTATATGCAAGGGTTTTAAGAAGAATTGATGTAGATTCTATTTTTAATACTTTGCCTTTTGGCAGCTGAGATTTTAAATGGAATACCATATTCCTTATTGTAAAAATGGGACCATAATTAAAAAGCTAGATGCATTCATTACGCAGAGTTTCTTTAAACATTGAGTCCCTTCATCTCGTCTTAATCATTGTATTACAAAGTAGGCATTCTGTCTGCCTGGTGGCATGTCTTGCAAAAGAATGAGCGAGTTTTTGAAGGCAAGAAGAAGAAGGGGCCAATTATCGGCTTTTGCTTCCCTGCCACCTGCCAGCGCTTTTCCTTTTAATTAATGATCTGATGGCACTGGTCAATATAATAAGAAATGCTTGTACAGTTGGGGTCAGAAAATTCTGGCTTTGATCTCTCCCAACTTTCTGAAACATTTATTTGTTTTCTCTAAATTATTTCAGTTTTATTTTAATCTTTCCTGTCCTGCTGAGGGCCACAAGAATGAAAACCTACAGTTTGTCATCTGCTTTGGCAGAGCAAAGAATGCTTACTTAGAATTCTATTTGTAAATTAAACTGCAAACCCAGTTTGTCATAAAAGACATCTGATCCTTTTGAAATGACGAAAACTGTCTTTTGTCTGTAAAGCTGATAAATTAAGTGGCAGTACTCTTCGGGTCTTTGATCTTGTGGAGGGTGTGTGTGTGTGTGTGTGTGTGTGTGTGTGTGTGTGTGTGTGTGTGTGTGTGTTTGCAGCTCTTAGTGGCATATATTATATATTTAATATTAAATAATCTATGTAAAATTGCAGTTTGGGGCTTTTGTGTTCTTTAGTATAGGGCAAAATTATAAACTAGTGCTATTTCTGTACATATTTAATGGCTATTTAAATGTCTTTATAACATAATTATAACTTTAAATTATGTTCCCTTCTTTTAAAAAACACCCTCAAAGTATCCATTCTTTTCAACATTATTAAAATTTGAGAATTGAAAGCAAACTTTACAATATAATTTTCTCCATTTTCTCTATTATTAAGGACTTTGAGAGGGTGAATTTAAAAATCTCCAATTTAAAAAATACATCACTACTAGCCCAGATTGTTCTTATGGCTAATGATAGGAAATGGGAGTTTAATGTCAAAGCCAGAGTACTTCTGCTTATCAATAACCAGTCCATTGCCTGACCTTTAAGCTCGTTAAACTGAACTGTGTATTCACTGCAGTCAAATTGTTGTGTGTGAACCATCCAAACTCAGACCAGTGGACACTGATATTCTCTTCTCGGCTTAATGTGGCCAGATGCTTCGTTATGAAATCTGCAGCGACTGCTAGGAAGGATACGTTATGCGTTTAGAAATCCATCCAAGAATTTTTCACTGGGTAGAGAAATACTTATGAAAATAGAATTCCAGCTTTTCAAACATTTTTCTTATGGTATGCACATTTTCTAATGTTGTACTGCAGGAGAAAGGGTTGTTTACTAAAAAGAAGAGAGAGAGAAACTCAGCCTTTCTCTACATGATATTAAAATCTGTATAGTCGCACCGAGCTCCTTGCTTGAGAAGAGAGCCTTTGAAGTCTCATTGTAGTGGGAATCGCTTTTAACTGAGAAGTACTTGTCTTGTAGATTTGTTTTATAATTAAGATATTGATTTAAATGTATAGGGATGCTAAGCAACACTCACCGATGTACAGATACAACTGCAGGCAGGTACAGAAGAGTCAGTGTGCTGCGTGGTCAGCACCACGTTACGCTAACTGCCATTGTGAGCCTGTAGGAGAAGGAGCATTGCCAGCCAGCGCAGGCGGATTGCAAAGGTGCTGCCATTCCAAGGCCACAGACTTGCCGACAGCTGGAGACTCGGCCAGTACAAGCTCCCAGATAGAGCAGGAGCCATTTGGTGAAAACAGGAGCTCCTTTAAAGTTGGGCTGATTTTCTAAAGTATTTTAGGCAGTTGTTCGACTCATCTCTAACAAAGTTCTCATTTTCATCAGTTTTTTAAGGCTGCCCTTTGGAGCTCTACACAGTTTAAACTGGCAGATGTTTTAAATAAGATCTGATAAAATCCTGAATGATAACTGAATTTTTATGTGTGATTTACATTAATATTTTTGAAGCCTGAAAGGTATTACTATTGGCATTGTTTGATTAGTTAGTAAGTTAACTGAGCTTTAAAAGGAGGCCCTTTTAAAAGCATCCACCAAAGCATTTAAATTATGCGTACAGGCTGGGTTCCCGTGTGTGCATGTGCACTCTATTACCATGTCACATTGACCAGTGGCCGCGGCTGCCCCGAGGTCAGTGGTCACAGTTGTCCTGAATTACTAGCTCTTTTTTCCTGTGGACCCTCTGGTGCGTTGCATGCTGTAATCTTCTTAATGGCTTCATTCCAATATTCACACATAATATTTTAGATTTATTGACTGTTAGAAATACTACCACGCCAGTAGCACTTCCGCTGCTCTTAAGGTATTTAAAATTGGAAAAATAAATCAGAGCAAGCTTCAGGAATCCTTTGTTTTCCTTTTGGGAGGAAAAAAAAAAACACCTTTCTTCCTGTTTTCTGACAAGAACACTTGTTTTTTGATTTCATCATTTCACTATAGATTTGGATCATCAAAACAAAATAAAACCTAAATGTTTCATTGGCAATGATTTTAAGGATATTATTTCACAGAAAACCCTTTGAAGACAGTGACACATTGAAACTCTTTTGTAGCTTGTATATACAAGTATTGTGACTTTATTTTAGTATTATGCCATTTAGACATTTTCAAACATATGTAGTTGGAATATTTTGAACTAAAAGAGTAAACTTTAGGGCCAAGTAACCATCAATCAAAGTTAGTGTTATTATTAGTGTGTGTGTGTGTATGAGAATGGGAAGAAAAGTTCCATTATATATAACAAGGCAAATATCAAATGAGTTCATTTAAGTTCAGAAAATGAACTATTGAAATCCCTCATTCTATATATTTATAGACAGATTTAGTTTAATTGTGTAGCAATTTAAAACTTTGTGTTTCTTACTTTTACTGTTCATTTTAATTTTTGTCATTATTAATATTTTATAATAATTTGTGAAATGTTACTATTCATAATGTAAGAACATAACCTATTTGCTTGCTGGAAGATTAGGCTAATAATTAGAATTATAGTGTGATTTAGGAAGTGTGCTCTCATGGGAATATTAAGATCAACAATTATAAACCAAGTCTTATAGATGAAAGCAGCTGAGAGTTGACTGACATCTGACAAAGCTATTTGTGCTAGAATATTCATTGCAACAAGCAAGTAGTTTTGCATAACCATCTTTAGATATTTTTAATTTATTAAAGAACATGTTCTTATTTTAGGTAAGAAAACTGAGGCACAGGATGTCTATTGTTGATAGCTAGAGCTTTAGTAGATAAGGTTGGTTTTTGTATCTTTGCCCCAAATAGAAGACTGTAGTTCCTCACAGTAAATGTCATGTACTATTATGAGTAATGAGTAACTTACTTACAGTTTCATTCACAAACAGTTTGCTTCTTGTCTTGCTAGAGGAATAGCAACATGATATATTTGATTTAAAATTTTTCAGCACTGATTTTAAGGTGTTTTCATCTTGCAGATACTATTGTTAGAAGATAATTGTTTTCTCTGATAAAAGTTTGTAAAAGTACCTACCACCTTTAAATGTTATTCTATGTACTAATAATCAATATAATTAAACTCACATTTATTAAACATCTACTGTGTACCTTTCCAGGCTAACAAAGGGGCTGTTATTCTGGGGCACACTGTGATACGATACATAGGTTTTGGTATAAAATCTGTTAATTACTAAACTATTAGGGGACACTTCTTATAAATCGTTTTATGTAAACTACCACACTTGTTACACTAATGTTTTAAAAATTCCTTTGAAGGAATATGCTAATGATTTAATTGTGATATGAAAAGGGAGAGGCACAAATTACCATGAGTCACCAAAACTCACGAGGAACCTAAAGAACTAGAGAAAACCTCCAAAACAGAAACTTGAAATTAAATTTTTGAGTAGCTACATTTAAGAGAATTTATTTATTTGGGAATCAGTTTAGAAAAGCATTGCTTATTTTAGAGGATTTTTAAATTAATTTAAAAATTATAAAGTATATAAACTAGTCTCTTGTGGCCATGAATATTATCAATAAATGTTTAATTCATTGACTAGGTCCTCTAATTTAACATGAAGGCTTTAACCAGTTAAATGTCACAGTATGTCTTATAAGGAAGATAAGGCCCCCGAGAATATGATTTTAGTTCAGGTTTGTCATAGCTCTGCTGTAATCCTGATTGTGCTGAATGGTCAGTGAAGCCTCTAACAAATGCCTGTGGTGGTCCTTGCTGGAAAGACAATACAAATTACAAATGCTTCAAATTCCAGCACAGCGTGGAGAACTTTTAATGTGGAGCACATACTTGAGGAAACACACCTGGTTTCCTTTTGTCCTTGAAGACGTATATACATGCTCCTCCTGGGCTGCTAGGATTCTGGCATCCGCTGTCAAAGCCCCTGCCTTAGCCTCTGTGTTGTGCTTTGTAAGTAGTAAGCACTGGATGAGTGAGTGCAGATGAGAAATACAATTACATTGTTTCTATTTCTTGACACATAAGTTTGTTTTTTAAAAAAATCTCTGTGTAGTTTTTATCCAGAATAGTATATAAGGATACTTTTGTTTGAGTCTTATAATGGAAAAAAAAACCCAGAATATATATATATATACACGTTTATATATATGTTTATATATATATTTCTATATATATATTTCCCCATAATACAGCATTTTATTTCTTGCTTGACTGGAAAAGCCCACACTTTGATGACATTCTAATTGTCTGTGAAAACTCATCATCTTTTTAAATGATTAGTTTCGTAGATGTGATCATTT